TTGTTTTATTTTATATAATTTTCTTAACATTTTGTATATTATATACTCATTAGTAGTAGTAATGTATGCACTAAGTTTGCCATTTAAATATAATTTCCTTTACGGGTCTACTGGAAGATGTTTCAGCAAATTATGAAATAAGTAAAACCTTTGTACAAACTTACGATAACACTGCTTCTGTACCTTGATGTGTGTACATAAATAAATAAATAAAAAACTTAATGATTTAGAATAATGGCGACAAACGCCGAAAACCCTCCTGACCGGGTCGACTACATTAAATATCGGTAACAGGACTCATAAAATACCGGCATATATGCATATAAAAATGTTAAATCGTAAGTCAGAGGCAGTATTGGTGGCGCACTGAATGTTGGCCTAATTATTGATATACCTAAACAATAGGTTCTTATTCTGCAGTTAGTTTCAAAATCTCTGAGAATATAATTCTCATTTCTTTAAAAAAATGTTATTACACTATTCTTCAGATTTACAAATAGTTCTTCCTATATCTGTAACTGATCGTCATTACCGATGAGAAGGAAGGCAGGTTCGTATCTCGCTTACGGATTAAGTGTAACTTTTTTTATAGAATAAGGGTGTACAAACGAGCACACAGTCCACCTGATGGTAAGTGGATGCTATGGCTCATCATCATCATCATCATTACAGCCCTTCACAAGTTCACTGCTGAACATAGGCCTCTCCCAAGTAACGCCACAAAGCACGGTCCTGAGCCACCTGCATCCATCGACTTCCTGCATGTCTTACCAGGTCGTCACTCCACCTAGTGGGGAGTCGCACTACACTTCGCCTACCGATACGAGGCTGCCACTCGAGAACCTTTTTTCCCCAACGGTTGTCGGTTCTTCGAGCTATATGGCCGGCCCATTGCCACTTCAGCTTACTAATCCGTTGGGCTATGTCGGTCACTCTGGTTCTACTGCGGATATCCTCATTTTTAAGTTAATCACGCAGAGAAACTCCGAGCATAGCCCTCTCCATAGCTCGCTGAGCGACTTTGAGCGTCCTCATACGGCCAGCAGTGAAGGACCACGTCTCGGTTCCGTAGGTTATCACTGGCAACACGTACTGATTGTATAACTTAGTTTTCAGGTTTTGAGGTATACCTTACGAGAAGATGCGTCGTAATTTCCCGAACGCTGCCCAGCCGAGTTGAATGCGTCGATTGACCTCTCGGTCGAAGTTGGACTTATCTAGTTGGACTATTTGTCCCAGGTAAACGTACTCGTCAACAATTTCGAGCTTAGTGTTCCCAACAACTACCGGCACAGTTGTGACATGGACATTAAACATGATCTTTGTTTTGTCCATGTTCATCTTAAGATCTATCCGTTGGGAGGCACTATTGAGGTCATTGAGCATAGTGCTTAAGTCCTATGCCAAAGGACTATATCGTCGACAAATCGAAGGTGAGTGATGTACTCGCCATTGATGTTAATACCGCATCCTTTCCTTTCCAGTAGCTTGAAAACGTCTTCCAATGCAGCGGTGATGAGTTTCGAGGAAATAACGTCACCCTGTCTTACACCTCTCTGCAGTTGGATCGGTTTCGGTTTCGGTTTTCGGTTGGACGGCTCATAGACATCTACGTTTATCCTCGATTGAGAATCAAAACGCAAATGAGTTGTCACCCCTGAGGACTAAGATGGAATGCTTCGTTTCAAGTAAAAAAGGGTCTCCGGATATCTACACTGACCATACGAAACACAGCAGTATTAAGCTACTATTTTACGCTGGTATTCTGTGAGAGCGCGCTCCTTCCCCGGTCGAGTCGACACATTCGTGATACAACCACAATGTAGCTGCAGCGTGGCTCTACCACGTATATACTAAGCTAATCAACAAAAGCAACCAGCATTTGAAATATTCTAAAAATTGGGAAATGTTCTAAAGATTGGATCGCTTATGAACAAGTATAACGCGCTAAATATTTATGCAGAAAACTGCGTAGCAACTAAAAAAAAAAACACAAATTTTGACGAGATTGTCATTGTATCGGTCAGTTTTTAACTATTAAGTAGTTGGTTTATGTAATAAAAGAATTATTAAAAATAAAAAATAAACATCATCCACCCAGTAGCGTACATTAATGAGTACTGATTGCTTACTTTCTTTGAAAAGGAGCATTTTATTATTTGACTTTTTAAAGTATATTTATTAATATAAAATTTATTTATCTTTATAATCGTCAAAATAACCACATTTAACGCGGATGCATGGATAAGATAACGCTTCACCTGTAAGCCAAGCCATGCGCACTTTTGATCGTACAATACCTACCGTACGCCGGCCAAGCAGTGATCTAATTTGATCAGAATTATGTAAACATGTGTACCTATGAAAAAACTATTTTTTCGTTTTAAACAAAACCAAAGACACTATGCAATAGATAATAGTATCAAAGACAAAGATATGCTCTTTTATTTTAAACCATAACCTGGCAATGTTTCTTAGAAAAAAAAAAAAGAAATCACTCTGAACTTTCGGCGTTCCACGTGCCGTTTTGATGAAGGTGCTCCGTCTTTTTTATAGAATTTTATATTTGTGTCTGGACTAAAAACGAAAGTATTATACTTTTTTATATTCCTTGTAATATAGTGAACACACATATATATATATATAATTTGTGGTATAAAAAGTGAAAAGTAAATTGCCAAAAGTGCTTCAAAATCTGGAAGGCCCATTATGGCGGCTGGGTCATAAATGTGGTATTTTTCACATTCTCATTTATTTTTAGTGTAAAATGTAAGTAAAAATAGTTTTGTTACATATTTCAAATAACTTGACGTTGTATTTATTTCTAATTCACACAAAACTATTTTAGAAATATTGTTCTAAATGTCACACAGATAAAATATTATTATTTTATTTTTTTAATTTCTTTATATTTTAATATTTTGGTATGAGTAACGAATGGAAACACATAAAACATAAAAATATACATATTTCCAAACATTTTCATATAAATTTCTCTAAAAACAAAAGTGTAGAATTCAAATTAGTAGTAATTTTGTCACTAAAATTGAAGTATATACCACTATACAGCTATACAGGGTAATTTACGTATTTTATTACAATTTCTAGCAACCAAAAATAATTTTATTCGATAGTTTATACATTCAACAAGAATTCCTGTAAGTTTTATCCATAAATATTGTCTCAAAGTGAAAATATAGCAAAATTTGCAATATAGCAAAAAATTTGCTAATTTTCAAATTTTCCCGCCATTACGGTCCCGAGCGAACGGGAGTATAACATGTCGCGCGCTGTCAGAGCTTACAGGAGAGATATTTTGACCCGCTCCCGTCTAAGAGGAGCGTCTGTTTCTTTTATCTATATTCACCAATTTCTCAGAGATGACTAAAACGATTTCAATAATTCTTATTTTAATAAATAGATAAAATAGGAGATGAAGTTTTTAGTGTAACGATTTATTTTTACTTTAAACTTGTGATATTCCACTCAAAAAAGTAAATAATACAACTTTGAAAAAGTTAAAAATCTACTTCAAAAACAAAAAAATAAAATAAAACGAATTTTCACATAATAGCTTTTAAATTCAGGGGTTAATTATTCGAAATACTATGTCTTAGCACCTACTGCAGAAGCTATGAAGTGAAAATTATTTTATTTCTATTATTTTGTTTTAGTCAATTGTGTCCGTAAATTATTCAGGCATAATGTTGGTGACCCCAATAAATAAATAAATAATTTATCCTTATAAATAAATAAATGATTAACAGAAACATTACATTACACTCTTATGAACACATAGATAAAATAAATTTTTTTCCAGACTACCTACAAAAAAGAAATAATAAAGGAAGAAAAATTTATGAGCACAGTGCACTATAAATAATACTTTTCTACCTATGAGATTTCCCCATTACTAGGTTATAGACCTACTGTAACCTAGTAGATAAAAAATTCTTTATAGCACTCAAAATAATTTGGTACAAAGGCGAACTTAATCCCGAAAAGCCATTCTCTGCTACCTAACCTTTGGTAGTGCGATAAGTGCTAGGGGTAGAAATGAAACAGAAAAAATAGTACTATCTTTTTATCGTTTGTACACAAAAAATGTCACATAAAGAGCGATAATTTCATACTTTAACTTGTAATATAGTCCGTATATAAAAGCAAAATGCCACTGACTCACTCACTCATTACGAGATGTAGAGAGAAGGAATTCCACAGGTGTACAACTGTAATAGAAAATAATTCATTGAAGAAGGAGGACGAGTGTACCCGATTACGAAAAGGAAGATCGTTAGAGTAGTTTTTACTATTCGAAAAGCTAGTCTAACTTAAAATCTGCGATCATTATCATTCCGAAATATAAAAAAGTTTCAATGCGATGGTTTGAGCTCTCCGTATTATGTGATAAATGTGGGTCATGACTGGGTGGATGCTATAACGTGGATGCAGATAATACCACGGAGCGAAAAGATACTCTCGAATAAAAATTGGAAGAAGTACGCGATGAAAAATGCATTGAAGAAAGGAATTATTGAGATGAGTGTTATCAAATTTGCCCCATGACACCATAATATTTAAATTTTGGTGGCTGAATGAAACGTTAGGCAAATTCAACTTTTTTACTCAGTGATTTGACTGTTTGTTAGACATAACACTTATCAGGTGTTCGATAACTATCAAAACTTGGTGATTTTTGAGTGCTCTGTATTAATCCAACTTACTTTTCGTAAAAAATGAATAAAAAGGTAAGGTTATTTTATAAAGATGTTCAAAATGTTGTAAATAACGTAAACATGTCTTACTTTTTGTCATCAATTCATATTTACTTAATAAACTACGAAAAATTATGACGTCCATATATTGGACAGAGCCCGTTGACATATCTAGCAAGTGCGCTTTTGATAATCTTGAGCAACTTTAGAAGATTTTTTTTATCTAATGGTGAGCATTTTGAAGATGGTTATGAAAGCGATGAAACGAAAAATGAAGCGTTTTTTATGGAAACAAGTCAAGAGGAAATCGAAAACATTTTAGATTCTACGCCGCCTTTTAGAAGCCAAGTTGCTGTCAAATCTATACCTTCTGTAAGTAGAGTTTCTTCAATTCAAGATGTTGATAAATCAATACCAGATGATTTAAATATTGTTCTGAGAAACAATAGTCCAGAGCCTGAAACTATTTCAGACACTGAAGACAACGACGACGATGACAACAATGATGATTGAAAGAAGGTATTTATACCTCATAATGTGCCTATTAAAGAGTTTGATGATATTCCAGTAAAACTAAAGCATAATTTTCCAAACAGAAGTGGTCCTCATACACATTGTAGATTATATTCCTCTGATAAAATTTTGCCTATAATAGTTGAGCAAACCAATCTTTATGTAGCTCAAAATAAGCAGAAGAATTTGGTTGATATTACTGTTGTAGAAATTCAGACGTTTCTTGAATTTTTCGTACTAATGGGTGTACATCCTGTTCCTAATCTAGATCTATACTGATCAACAGATCCACTATTTTGCGTCCAGGAAATTGCAGATGTAATGACAACCAAAACATTCAAAATGATACTTGATAATGATAATTTACATCTAAATATTAATAAAAAACCGGCCAAGAGCGTGTCGGGCCACGCTCAGTGTAGGGTTCCATAGTTTCCCGTCCGTCACAATAAGTGTTCCCACTTATGAGTTTAAAGGTGGGTATCCATTATGTTCGCGCTCCAGCAGCGCTCCGCGCTCCTGCAACTGCTCCCGGTAGTGGGTACTGTTGTTTCCATCCAAGTTCAAAATGATTTTCCTAGAAAGTCCTTATAAAGTTCTACTTTTCACATTTTTTTCATATTTTCTAAACTTATGGTTCAAAAGTTAGAGGGGGGGGGGGACACATTGTTTTTGGAGCGATTATTTCCGAAATTATTGACATTATCAAAAAATGATTTTAGTAAACCCCTATTCATTTTTAAATACCTTTCCAACAATATATCACATGTTAGGGTTAAAATTAAAAAAAAATCACTTCCCACTTTACATATATATAGGCTACCCTAATAAAACATTTTTTTCCAATTTTTATTTTACCACTTTGTCGACGTGATTGATACACATATTGGTACCAAATTTCAGCCTTCTAGTGCTAACGGTCACAGAGATTAAGCGAGAACGGACAGACGGACAGACAGACATGGCGAAACTATAAGGGTTCCTAGTTGGCTACGGAACCCTAAAAAATGCCTAAAAGGGTAGAACTTGAATTCGATAAACTGTATAAGATTCTGCCGATAGTTGACTTCATGAATACTGCTTTTCAAAAGGGGGCAAGGAACTCTTCATCAAAAAGTATAGATGAGTGTATAGTGTGAGTGATATTCAAAAGATGCAGTACTTTGAAAAAATATTATATATGCTCAATAAGCCTGTAAAGAGGGGCTTCAAAATATGCGCGCGCTATGATAGAACATTGGCTATCTTTATGAGTATGAAATAGAGTTTGGATTGGGAGCTAGTGAAGTAAATAATCTCTGCAAAGCACTGAGTGATGAAAAGATGGATAATGTTCATGTCACTCTCGACAATTTCTTTTATTCTACTGAACTAATGCAGTTTATTTGAACCTGACATATATTCGACAGCGACAGTCCGCTTTAGCAAACTAATCTACCCCAGAAACTGAAAAAGCAAACTGCCAAAAAAAGTAAAACGAAGCTAAACTTAGTAAAGGGCAATATAAGTGGTGGGTAAACAAAATTTTTATCATTTTAGTTGGATAATCTATCACTAAGATAATCAATATTTTTAGTACTGCCTACCACTCGAAGCAAAGAGTTTCATGCAAGAGGACACAAAAAGATGGCACAAAGCAGGTGTCATGTCTACTGGGAGAAGTTGATTATACGAAGAGAATGGGAGGTGTGGTCCGCTTCAACCAAAAGCGTGGCGTATATCCAGTAGCTAGGCGAAGTCGAAGATGGTGGATGAGAATATTTTATTTTGTAATTGATACTGCCATCACTGACGCATACAGTTTATACGCTCAAAAAGTTCGTTATCCTATGAATAAAAAAATTACCATTTGGTGTTTGGTATGCTCGTTTATCACCCCCAATTTTACCGTTAATTAGGAACAAATACATGTAAGAATATGAACGTTTGTTTGCATGAATGTGGTACAGAACGATCCTATGATTTCGGTGTGCAAAATTTGCATGTTTATTCCTTATGAAAACATGCCTACCATATACATATAGAAGAGAGCATACATTAGATTAATTTAAATTAAATCGAATTCATAAGGTGATCATTATCACATGAACCACTTTTACAGAAATACAAATGACAGATAGTGATATTATTACTTACAGAGCTTACAGTTAGTATAATAAATGCTTTTTATGCACCTATATGTCAATAAGGATATAGTAGTTATGTTGATCATAAGTTAATTAAATTTGGAATGACCATTTATACAATATTATCGCGAATAATAACTCAGTATCATGAAGGCTCAGTGTCAATTTGAGGAGGATTATAGATACGAGCATTGTTTCCAAATCGCTGGGTCCGTAACTCAGTGACGAGGGTCGGATATCGTTTGTCATTGAGCATTTTAAAGTGCTTTATTATGTAATAAAGAACATAATCTTGATTCGGAAGCTTAAAGGCTCTTAGGTCGCAGTAAATAATATCTCAGTTTCTGCGCTTTTGTTTAAATAGTGGAAACGTTGTTTATATATGGAATAAACAAATAGTGTGTAATATTTTTATAGAATTTCTCGTGATATCGTAAAAGGCGACAGAAAAATCTGAAACCGGAGATAAGCGGTAGAATATTCCGGATAAAAACTCAAAATTATTAAAAAAACTGTAGTTCAGACGCTCCTGCCAAGCGTGGCAACTATGGCAAAATTCCTAGGAAGTCTGTGTCCAGCAGTAGATAATATAATATATAGACTATATTAAGTGAATTTTATAGATGGTAAGTATATGTATTTATATAGCAATGTTAAAATCTTTAACTGACCGCGCTACATTATACTATATAATAATAATAAATTATAATTTTATTGTAATTAAAATTATGAATAACTTTATACTGTAGTGTAATCATTAAAATAATAATAGTACTATTAAAATAATAGTAGTAATAGAGCTTAACTAATCTCATATAATATTTAATATTATTTATGTAACAATAATATAATAATTCAATAAATTAGTTATGAACAATTTATTGTATAAGAATTCAAATATCTGTATAAGTATTTAATTGCACATAATATTTGAATTCAAAAAGAATGTTTGTACTTACATAATTTTTAAGCAATGAAATAATTTTAAAATATAACATTGGGTTAGTGTAATTAGCTGTATTTCATATAATTTTTGCATGCCAATTATGGCAAAACATGTCAGTTCCGCGTCATTGACCATCTTATGTACCATGTTTTAAGCAAATAAATTTTCTATCTACCTACCAATAGAGCTACTATTACGTAAAATTATGACCTGTATACTGTAAAACTCTAAACGTCCTAGTGCAAGGTACAGACTTCTTTCCATTTCTGGGAGGGTCACTGAACAATCCGCCTTGCTGCCTCAGCTTGTGTTGGCGGTCTTCACATTTTCAAAATATTTTTCTTCCCGTACCACTTCAGGGAAATCTCTAAAAACCGCCATGTTTCTCTCCGTTTTACCTCAAGACCGAGCACGCACTTGACTCGAGGTTGCGGTTGTAACTTAGGGTGAGTGATTAGCCCCTGAGCTACCAGTACCGCGGCTCTTCAGTCACCTCGACAGGGTTACCAGATCCAAAAATAATATTTCCTAAAAAAAATCCTTGATTGTTCCGAAAATTTCTTGACTTTTAAACATATAATACAAAATTAATTATAAAATTTACACAGCCCGTCCATTTTTATGATTAATTTTTTTTGTTAGTTACAAAAATTTGTCTTAATCAAAAAATTTCTAAGGCTTTCATGATTTTCTAGAAACTTCTTTAACTCGTGACATTTCAGGAATATTCTTGTCATCTGGCCTACCCACGACTCTTATTCTTGTTATTAATTTATTTATGTCTTTATGCAAATACCTTTGACTGAGGGGTACAAAGGTTGGACTTAATGCCTTATGTCATTGTCTACCAGTCAACTTCATAAGAAGTAATAATAAATAATAGACAATGATAAACCAGAAAAATATTATGTATAAACATAATATTTTTCCATTTTGTCATTGTCTACCAGTCAACTTCGTAAGAAGCAATAATAAATAATAGACAATGATAAACTAGAAAAATATTATGTATAAACATAATATTTTTCTATTTTGTCATTGTCTACCAGTCAACTTCGTAAGAAGTAATAATAAATAATAGACAATGATAAACTAGAAAAATATTATGTATAAACATAATATTTTTCTATTTTCTATTTTATGTATTAACATAATGTTTTTTTTTATTTTATCATTAACGGTCCCTGATCTGAGGTACGATGCCAGAGCGAGAACTCGATAAACGAGAAACTTTCATTCCCATCAGTTGTCGGTTTTGTGAGATATAGAGCCGGCCTACTGCCCCTTCAGCTTACTAATTCTCTCGGCAATATCGATTCTTTATTGCGAAACTTATTTTGAATCAGTTCTTAACATGAAAATCTTTTGTTCACCCAATTCTTCATCAAACTCAATGCTTTTAGTTTGGTGACACAGGTGGTTAAAAAAGCTAAACCAATGTTGTACATAAATATTCATTCATCAATTATTACAGCATCCTAAAGCCCACAGATAAACCATAAGCCTTCCTTATAGATTATTAATAAGATATTATTTTCTATACTTGCTACTCGTACGCTTGGCAGACGATTGGCAAACACAGTTTTGTGTTATTTTAACAAGTTATTATTTTTACTTCATCATCATTATTATAGCACTTCACAAATCCACTGCTGAACATAGGCCTCCCCTAAGAAATGCCACAAAGGATGGTACTGCGCTACCTGCATTAAACGACTTCCTGCATGTCGTACCATGTCGTCACTCCATCTAGTGGGGGGTAGATACACTACGCCTACCGGTACGAGTCTGCTACTCGAGAACCTTTTTCCCCCGTTATTTTTACTTAAAAAAACTTGTAAAATTTAATATTATTTTCATCATACGTTCATAACAGCATATCAAATCTACTGCTGAGCATAGGCCTCCCCCAATAATTGCCTTCCAAA